TGGATCCTTCTACTCTGCGATATTGACCTCAGAAGCCGTGTGCTGGATCCTTCTACTCTGCGATATTGACCTCAGAAGCCGTGTGCTGGATCCTTCTACTCTGCGATATTGACCTCAGAAGCCGTGTGCTGGATCCTTCTACTCTGCGATATTGACCTCAGAAGCCGTGTGCTGGATCCTTCTACTCTGCGATATTGACCTCAGAAGCCGTGTGCTGGATCCTTCTACTCTGCGATATTGACCTCAGAAGCCGTGTGCTGGATCCTTCTATGTGCTGGATCCTTCTACTCTGCGATATTGACCTCCAGAAGCCATGTGCTGGATCCTTCTACTCTGCGATATTGACCTCCAGAAGCCGTGTGCTGGGTCCTTCTACCCTGCGATATTGACCTCAGAAGCCATGTGTTGGGTCCTTCTACTCTGCGATATTGACCTCAGAAGCCGTGTGCTGGATCCTTCTACTCTGCGATATTGACCTCAGAAGCCGTGTGCTGGATCCTTCTACTCTGCGATATTGCCCTCAGAAGCCGTGTGCTGGATCCTTCTTCTCTGCGATATTGCCCTCAGAAGCCGTGTGCTGGATCCTTCTACTCTGCGATATTGCCCTCAGAAGCCGTGTGTTACACTCTTCTACTCTGTGATATTGATCGCAGAAGTCGGGTTGCTGCAGGCATTTCTTGTATCTAAAGCTTTAATAAAGAGGCTGTGAAACTGGCAAATACGCCGACTGATGTTCAGTGATGGTTAAGTTGCCATTTGTCTTAATTCCTGTTGTGGAACCTTTTTTAGTAATGAAGCTTGACAGATGTTAGAATGTTGGATTACAGTGGACATGTACTTCTGGAGCAAGTTACTGCCCCTCTGCTGAAGGGCTGTGCTTGTACACTGCCTGGCCCAAAAAAAGTCACCACCTGGATTTAGCTAAGTAAATAGTACATGGTACATAGTATTTGTGGTTGAATAAAGACATACGTCCATCAAGTCCAATCCATATAGGTCCACGCATCATCTCATTCTTAGGGATACTGGTATCCCTGGATATTACGGTCCCTCAAGAAATTGTCCAAACGTTTCTTGAACAAATCTACACTCTTGGCTGAAATCACTGCCGATGGCAGTAAGTTCCAGACCTTAACCGCTCTTACTGTAAAGAACCCTCTTCGCCCATTGTGCTGGAATTTTTTCTCCACCAACTTTAGGTGGTGGCCTCTAGTCTTTGTAATGGAGTTAATCTCAAACAGTTTGTTGCCGATGTTGCTGTCACCATTGAACATCTTGTACATGAAAATCACATCCCCCCTTAATCTCCTTAATTCCACCGTAAACATGTTTTAAGGTCAGAGCCTTGTCTCATAGCTCTGGTCCTCCATTCCCCTAATTAGTTTTGTTGCCCTCCGCTGGACTCTCTCCAGTTCAAGGACATCCCTTCTCAGTACCGGCGACCAAAACTGGACCGCTGGTACCGGGGGCAGATTGTGAAAGAGTGGTTCAGGGAGCATGTGGTATCATTTTCACACATGGATTGACCATCATAGAGTCCAGACCTTAACCCGATTGGGAATCTTTGGAATGTGCTGGAGAAGAGTTTACGCAGAGGTCCGAATCTCCATCACTACAAGATCTTGGTGAAAAATTAAGAACGCTGGATGGAAATAAATGTTGTGACATTGTATGAACTTATCAAAACGATGCCACATCAAAGCTAAAGGCAGTGCAATGAAATATTAGTGTGTGACTTTGTCATCTTCCAGGACAACATTCGAGAGATGGGCTCCTCCCTTCTGAAACAGGAAACGCATCATCCATACTAAAATAAAATGGAACAGTGCTAGCATGCCTCGGTTATAGTACAGCATATGCCTCACGTGGGTTTGTGCGAGCGGACGTTGGTTGCGGCGTCTGCCCCCCTCCCGAAAACTGTCTTCCTCCTACTGTCCTGTCACCTGGACAAGAGTCGCCCATTCGGCATCTGAGCCGAAGTTCTGGCAGAGGTTTGCGGCAGGATGTGACAGTGGAACACTTCCGGGGCAGAGGGTACTTCCGAATCGCTGGGAAGCGATTTCTTCGCTCGGTCATGCTACATGCGGTGCAGCATTTGCTCCGAAGCAGGCGGACCAGGACCTTGCGGACCACACCAGCAAGGGATGCGAGCACCAGGAGTGGGGGCAAGGAGCGCAAGTCCAACCACAACCTGCTCCTCTTTACCCGTGCCATCCTCACCAGTTACGCCACCTACGGAATATCCTGAGTGGTACTAGTTTGATCTTGCTGGATTGTCTTTGCTTTGTCAGATCTTGTGAAACAATCTCTCCAATGGTGGTTAGTGACAGAATCTGTCTGCAGGCTATGGAGTCAGCCAGAGCCATTAAAGGCGAACTACGAGGTGAATGATTTTCACTCATCCTCATAGTTAGAGCCGACTTGTGACAATGAAACTGTCGCACGGCGCCTCAATAGATCATGAAGTCAGCGATCACATACGTTGCTCGCTCACTTCTCGATCTCCCTGCGGAGAGTGGTGACTGTCACTCACGGCTCCCTGCTGGGATTCCCCCCTGCCCACTCTGATCCTCCAGCGCTGACTGGTGGAACTGAGGAACGGACGTGGGAGAGGTCGAGTACAGCTGGCTCTGCCTCTAGATAGGCAGAGGCTGCTGTCAATCAGCCAGTTGGGTGGATCTTGACAGTATTGTCGGGATCTATCCCAGCTGCAGTGCTCTCAGTATATAGCTAGCTATAGCCCGCTATATACTGAGCTTTGGGTCACGGGAGGAAGTTGTTATATGTCCTCCCGTGAGCCTAAAGAGAACTATGGGATAAAAGGGGGTGTGGAAATGGAAAAAAAAAATACTTGTCCAAGGACTAAAGCACGGGCCGATCTACTTGTCCTGATACAAAAAAGAAAAAAAAAATTTAACCAAAAAACTGTGTTTAGCAGTGCCAAGAGTTTCTCATTGGTCAGTGCCGTCAGGTGACTGCGCTGACCAAGTGCTTGCATTTTTGCGAGCGAAATTCAGAATACATGGCACAAGTATAGATACACCCATATTGGCGGATGACGAGGACCGTTCACTGAAAGGTAAATATAGCAGGGAGGGAGAGGGGACCAGATTTGTGCAGGTAATTCCATTTTCCCAAATTACTTGGGAAAGTGAATTTACCCTTTTGCGTTCGCCACGCGGCCCTATTGATTTCAATGGGGTTATATCTAGAGCTGCAGCTAACGATTATTTTCAAAATCGATTAGTTAGCCGATTATTAAGTTAAATCGTGGATGTGGGCGGGGAGGAGGTGCGGCGTGGATGCGGGCGGGCGGGTCTGGCAGCGGAGAGCTTGAGGTGGGGAAAAGGTGCGGCGCGCAGCATGTGTGGAGCCGTGAACAGGGCCAACTGATCGGAAGCCGATTAATCGATTATTGAAAAAGTTGACAACTTATGTCGCTTAGTTGTTGCAGCCCTAGTTATATCCGCGTGGTGGTCGCTGAAAAAAAGGTACATTTACCTTTTTTTCGCGACACGCACCGTGCCGTGTTTTCAACCGCGATTATGTGCGATTGGACCGGCATTATTGCGGCGGGAAACGGCCCAATCTGCCTGGTGCGACTGAAGTTCCATTAGACAATAATGGCATGCCAGCGCGAAAGGCGGTGGTGTGCGATTCTTTGACCGCCCGGCCATCCTTGCGGTATTGTGCACGATTGCTGTGCGGTAACGGCTCGCCCACACGCAGCGCCCCATGCATGCGTTTATTCGCATGCAGATGATAGGGCGGTATCTACGCCTGTTAAGCAGCAGGAAAGCGACAACTTCAGCTACCCATTACAAAGTCTGGAACACCTACACCTCATGGGAAACAAACAACCATTGGGGGGTGGGATGGGCCTAGGTGGCTTTAGTCCTTGAATTTCTTCAGAAGGAAGCAGAAAACGGCTCATTGTGCAATACCCTCAAAGTTCAAATTCCAACGTTGTCGGCCTTCTTGGAAACCAGGCTTGCAGAAGGGGCATTGGTAAAAAAGGTCTTGAAAGCGATTTTTCAGGCGTTTCCTGCGTTGGGATTTATCGGTTGTTCTTAAAGGATTCCTTAATCCCCTTTTTTGCACAGATTTGATTCATGTTCACTTAAAGTGCTTACACTGAAAACGGCCCTGTTGGTAGCCATAGTATCAGCCAGAAGATTCAGCGGAATTTACACCTCCATGGCCAATCTTGCAAGACCAGATTGTTCTCAAACCAGACCCAGCTTTTTTTTACCCAAGGTGGCCTCAGCGTTTCACAGAACACAAGAAGTAATCATTCCTTCTTTCTATTCCAATCCTGCCAACAAAGATGAATTGATGTCAGAAGGTGCGTCCTGGAGTACTTGGAAAAAACCCGCAACTGGAGAAAATCCTACGATCTCTATTTGTGCTTTTCAGGTCCAATAAAGGGAGTTGGAGCATCTAAATGTACCATTGCCAGAGGGATTAGATTGGCCATTTCTGAGGCGTATGTAGATTAAAAAAATATTACGGCACATTCAACCAGGGCTCTGGCCTCCTCTTGGGCAGAAAGAGCAAGGGCCACCCCAGATCAGTTATGCAGAGCAGCCACCTGGACCTGCGTCCTTAGGTTTGTCAAGCACTACAGAATGGATGTTTGCAAATCAGGATTTTGGAGGAAAGGTCTTGCAGGTAGTTGCCCCCTCTAAGTATGCGAGTATGGGTTCTTGCCTGTTCTCTTAAATGCTGTCCTGGAAGATGACTTGGGGAAAAGCTGAGTTGGTTACCTGGTAATTCAGTTTCCAAGAATCTTCTAGGACAGTAGGGATTCCCGCCCGATGGTGGAAAGACGTGTCTTGGTCATTAGAACAAATTTAAGCTTGTGTGTTCTTTTTGCTTCTTGTATAAGCTGAGTTATTATAGTACTGTTCCTTATTTTTATTTTATATGTCTTTTCTCCCCCCCCCCCCCCCCCCCTCTATTTGATGTAGATGACGCGTTTCCTGTTTCAGATGGGAGGAGCATGTCTCTCGACTGTTGTCCTGGAAGATTCATGGAATCTGAGTTACCAGGTACCTAACGGCTCTTTTATTTATTTAATTTCTGAATCTTGTTCTCCTAATGGCTGCATTTCTCGTTCACTTATGCTCGGGGACTTACCTTTTGTAATGTGGGCTTGTGCAACATTCCCCTTCTTGATTTGGGCACTTCCTGCTCTAGGGCAACCAAGCTGCCTTACTGTGTGTTTAGGCAGTGCGGCTCCCACTAGGGTTACATCACACATGCTGAGTATCTATACTTCTAGCCAAAGGAATAGTCTGCAGTCCACTGGTAGCATAGCTGTTTTGTAGCAAAAGAGCTAACAACCGATGCAACATTTTGAGGGCACGCAAGGACCTCAGTCACAATTCTTCACAGCGTGCAGTAAGAGGTCCAGTGTGCCCTTGAAACTTTACATTTGTTTGTTATGCAGTAAATTTACCTCCTGGACTGCTGGCTTCCGTGTTACTGGCAGCACCTCTTGTTAGCTGTGCACCCATAACCCATGAGGTGAGAGGTACTGTATGTGTGTGTGGCATGAATCTGTTACATGTGTGTTTAGCCAGACTGCTTATGGCACCATTCAGAATAAAAGCTTCATTGCAAAATGACTTTTGGACAACAGAGGGTTTAAATCTAGGGTAGCATTGATATATAGGCTGCCGAAAAGTGGCATTTTCTGGCCGATACACCGGTGCATCCATCCTATTCTCTCTCTCTCACAGCGCTCAGCCGCCTGTGACAGTTTCTCTCCTCCCCGCTGGGACACGGCAGCGCCCAGCAGGGAGGAGAGAAACTGTCACAGGCGGCCGAGCTCTGCGGGAGGAGAGCTCTGTGATCGGCCGGCATCTCTCCTCCCCGCACCACTCAGCCTCCTCTGACAACGTGTCAGAGAGGAGAGCGGGTACAGGCAGTCGGTGATCTCTGATTGTTTGTAAATAATTGAGGACAGAGTATGGTTACTATATCCCCAATTCTGAATGAATGGGAAGTGATCTACATCCCTCCTGTTCATTCATGATTGTGGTTATAGTAAACATACTCTGTCCTCATGTTATGAATGAACAGGAACACTCAGTACAGAGGATTCCTGTTCATTGATGACAGGGGCTGCAGACAAAGAGATTGAGGGCTCTGTGTGTCTCTGAGGACTCTGTGTTCTCAATCTCTTTTTCTATTTTAAAAGGGAAATATCAGGAGTCTGTTTAGACCCACAATATTTCCCCAAAGCCCCTAACAGTAAAAAATATTGAATAAAACATGAATTAATAAAATTAAAGTTTTTATAATAAAAATATTTGAAAAAGTTAAAATAAAATTTTTCGGTTTCGGCCTGAATTTTTTTGTTTCGGTTTTGACCTTTTAATTTCGGTGCACCTCCTATAAATCCTTTTTCTGCCCACAGAGGAATTCTTGTTTGTCTCAGGGCTTGTTCACTTTATAGCGGTGACTGATGTTTTTCAGCAGCTGAAGGATGCCGGTCACCGCAATTGTTTTCTTTGTGCCCGATTCACACTACAACGCAGGTGTAATCTACAGACATGCTGCTTTTTTCGCAGCGCACTTAACCGCACCATTGGGTCTAGGCAAGTGCAGTACACATTGCTGCTGTTCGGGGCTCTGACTGGAGCGTGCAGTGCGTACACTGCAAGAAAAAAATTCAGTGTCTTGCGTTGTATGATGACGCAAAAAGTCACCAGCACACCAAATCGATGATTACAGCCAAGTGTTCATTGATGCATGCGGTCTCCTTTTGCGAGCACTTTCGGGACCACGCAGGATCCCCTTCATCAGGCTCGGAGTTGACAATGAGTTGTAAGAAGGCAGAGCACAGCTGCCTTTTCAGCGGACACTAGCCACATGGTAAAACACCGCATTCTACCGTGCAGCTAGTGCGTACCAGAGCTCATAAGCAAAATACCTGCCTGTGACCTCTGATGGAAGCTGCGCTTCTCCCACCTCACAAGCCACATACAGGGGTAGCAAAGTTGAATCTGATAATCTTCACAGTCATTCTTTTATATGTATGTACACTGCAAATTCCTCTTTAGCCCAGCCACCTAGTGCTGCCCTGTTAGAGCAGCGGTGGCTAATCTGTGGCACTCCAGCTGTGGTTAAACTACAAATCCCATCATGCATCTTACTCTGGAAGCCGTGGCTGTCAGTCTTGCCTTATGGGATTTGTAGTTGCACCACAGCTGAATGGCCAAAGTTTAGCTACCCCAGGTCTAGAGGCATGGAAGTGGCATTGGCTTTAATAAACAGAACACTCTCACACCTTAATTTCCCCTTCCCATCCACTGAGGGAAATGTATCAAAAGTGGAGCTTGCAGAATCTGAAGCAGCTGTGCATGGCAACCAATTGGCCTCTTTCTTTTTTTAATGCTAAACAGAAGTGAGAAGCTGGTTGCTATGGGCAACTGCTCCAGTTTTTTGATAATTTCCCCTCAATGTATATAATATCCTCATCCTCAGTATTCTATTTACTACGCGGGTTGAGTGTTTTGAACTGGCTCTTGGCTTCAGTGAGATAACGTGTGTTAGGCCAATGCTGAATGTTATTAATCTAATTTTGTCTTGTTTATAGCCCAGCCACTTACTCCAGTCCTCGGTCCTCGGTAAGACTGATTTTCAAGCCGCTGTCTCCTGTATTATAATTTGTCGTCTTGTTTCCTCCTCTGGAGAATCGGGAATATAATCATTTAATTTCTGCTTGTAGGTCGGGTTCGGTGACTGAAGAGTATCATGTGCCAGACGGCATGGTCGGACTCAGTGAGTGTTTTGATATATTCTGACTCATTACTTCATGATGCTTCTCCTAAAGCAATGACAGGATAGTGAAAGCTAATGGAATGAATCTTCATAATTCCGTTTTGTATCCCACACCTGTCCTGTCATGCCGCCAAATCTTTTCTCACAGTCCGTAATGTACTCAGGTGGGCTCTGCCAACTGGCACTGATATCAGAGAGGGGTCTTGCTGCGGCCGTCTCGCAGAAGCTTGCCGTGAGGCGTCATTCTTTGCTGTCATCTCTGATATTTATGGGATGTATATGGCTTCAGGACAGGAAGTCATGAATGTCTACTTTGGCTACAGAGGGCATGTGCACACAGATGAAGAGTCTAAATATAGTTGCTACTGTGATGTGGGAAAAGATTCAAATTCGTGACGTAAGAGAAAAGGAAGACTAAAGCCCCTTTCACACGGGCCCATCAGGAAAGCTGTATGGAGGGGAAAACTGCAGTTAGTGGACCCCATGCCAGTCTATGAGGCATCAGATGTAAACAGACACGTGTCCGTTTACATCAGATTACCCCTGGTCCGGCGAAATGGAACACTGTTCCGTTTGTTATACCGGACCTAGATGGAGGTAACTGGGTTTAAACAGACGGCTGCCCATAGACTTGTGTTGGACATCCGATCAGGTCCGCTTGACAGGTGGACCCAATCGGACCGGCCGTGTGAAAGGGGCCTATGGGGGCAATTTATAACAGTTGATGTCACTATATGCACAATGTAGCCCATCCCATTCATAAAAACTAGGCCGCTGTGTGTAGCTGGCGAAGGCCCATGGAGTCCATTGAGCGTAGAGAGCTTCGTGATTGGAGAAGAGCCAGTAATGTGACGGGTCACATGATCGGGCTTTGCAGTCTTCTATTAAGATTGAAAGATTCATATTTTACTCTTATTTATTTTAGTCTGAAGCTGGCCATGCACTATACAATCTAATGGTACATTCTTTGTAATATGCGGATATCCAGTCAGACGGCCCTTACATAGTTGGTGGTGCATGTGTGGGGAACAGAGGCTTCAGCTTCTACTACACCTTCACTTTTTGCATGTTGAGTGTATGAGCGGTTTACTTTCACCTGTATATAACTAACTTGGGTGTCTCTTCCAGTCATCGGCCGTGGTGGGGAACAGATAAATAAGATCCAGCAAGAGTCTGGATGTAAAGTTCAGATTTCTCCAGGTAAGACCTTTTCTCTTTAGACTTCTTTTGTCCGGATTATTTGTGCAAATGAGACCTGTCTGTGATACCTAAAGCTACCAATCGGAGGGTTGAACAACCCATGTTGCAGCAATAGCAGTTACATGTGTGCTAATTCTTTTCCCCTTGTTTTTGCTCCTTTTTATTTCTTTCAGACAGTGGAGGGTTACCAGACAGAATTGTGTCATTAACTGGTTCCCAAGATTCAGTTCAGTAAGTATCGGCCTGTATGCCATGTGTATACTATGTATGTGTATGTAGCATTATGTCTGGTGTTCTCGCAGCCTTTCAATGCCCAATTCACACTTCCTCTGTGTGACTCGTCCAATCAGCTGTGACCCGGAGGAGCTTTACAATGCCATGACAGCTGCCTCTGCCCCGTGGCTGTTTGCAGGTTGTTCACTTGTAATCGCAAATACTGTGACTCGCTGCAGAAGATCGCACCTGGACACAGATCTTCTGCATCCAGGTTATCGCAGCGTTTGCAGTTTACAGCTGCAGGCGGTAGTATACTGTATAATATATCTCTAGATCTATCTCTATCTATAGCTCTATCTCTAATCGATCGAGATCGATTCTCTTATCTATCGATCGAGATCGATTCTCCTGCCCATATCTGGTCGCATTAGATTCATGTGAGTCGGCTCCATTGGCAAGGGTGATTGGGGAAAGGTGAACTTGTAAGTTGTTTTTTATGTTCAGAACGCCACTCCTACCCGCACTGGTGCAATTCTTCTGAAGTGATTGGAGTGCTTGCTGTTTATGTGGTGGCACCATTGCTGGTGGGCACAGAGTAGCGGTGTGCCTCTCCTAGGTCAGCACGGTTAATGTTCATTATATAAAGTTTGAAACAAAGTCACAATAAGGCTTTTGCAAAATCAAATTTTTTTATCTTCAGTTCTAATCTGTTACAATTCTGTAGACTTACACATAATAGATTTTATACTTCCTCTTATTTAGCGTTATTTACTTTGGTTGATGACCGTTGTAGCTCAGAGTTGCAGTTGGAAAGATCTCTGAAGTTTGACAATTGCTGCCCATAAAACTACTTAATCTCATGCTGATGATGCACATTGGCGTCCAGCTCCTAAGTCAGTGGTTCTCAACCTTTCTATGGCCAGGACCCCTTGGTAACATTTGCCAAGTTGTGGTGACCCCCAGCGGTAAAATTTAGGGATGACGCGGCTGCTGCAACGACATCTGGCGGCGTGGCGGGAGAACTGACAATGCTGTGCTAGGAGAGGGCTGAGGAGGACTCTCCCCTAGCACAGCAGTAGTCACACAGCGACCCCACAGGTTGAAAAAACAAAACACCACCATGGGAATGCATAGCTAGATTCCTATTGGCTATATCACTTTGCAATAGCAAACTAGCTATTGCACCCGCCCACTGCTGCTGTCAATCACTAGAAGATGACCTGATGGAGAACTTCAGGTTCCCCCCTGCTGATTGACAGCAGCATAGGGCGGGTGCAATAGCTAGTTTGCTATTGGCTATTGCAAAGTGATATAGCCAATAGCAATCTAGCTATGCATTCCTATGGTGGTTTTTTTTTTTTTTTTCTTCTAACTTACGGTGGCCCTGATGTCAGAAAAGGGAAATTAAAAAAACTATTGCAGGGAAAGGTTTACTCTGCTTGATCGAGCAGAGTAAACCTTTCCGGGAGAAAGTGTTTCTCTCCCAGGCAGCCGGGAGCCGCTATCTAATAGCGGGAGACTGCCGGGCGACCCCTGGCAAATCGTCATTCGACCCCCGACGGGGTCGCGACCCACAGGTTGAGAACTGCTGTCCTAAGTAGTCACAACCGTGTCGGACGTGGACGTTCTTGCAGATTCTGTTACTGCATGCACACTTGGGAGTTTGCGTTTTAACAGCATAAAGGCAGGCAAATGTTAAGCTTGCGGGTAATGCCTTGTGCGGAAGTCTCCAAAGAGTGCGGCTTTAAGGTGAACACGTGCATAAGAAACGATAAGCCGTTGATGCCTTGTATGTAGAGTTTTCCTGACAAACATTACAGACACTACGGTCACTCTTTAATATTTCCCCTCGTATGGTCTTCTCTCTCTCAGGAAAGCCAAGATGATGCTCGATGAAATCGTTGCGCGTGGTCGCGGGGGACCTCCTAGCCAGTTTCATGACAACTCCAATGGACAGAACGGATCCCTACAAGAGATCATGATCCCCGCCGGAAAAGCTGGGCTGATTATTGGCAAGGGTGGAGAAACAATCAAACAGTTACAGGTATGTGATCTGATGGATTTGGCCCCAGTTGTACTTTAATATCTACCCCAATCCTCGTTATTGGTTAACCCAAAAAGTTAAAGAAACCTTTGTAAAAGAACGTTCATTTTTGTCCTGCTGCCCTCGCCACTCAGCTTTCGTTCTTTAGACATGATTTTGGGGAGACAAATCCGAACTTTTAGGGAACTGTATATGTGGTTTCCTTCTACTTTTAAAGAAATACTAATTCTGTAGCTGCTGCTAACAATGCAATGTAATTCCAGGAGCGTGCCGGGGTCAAGATGATTCTTATTCAAGATGCCTCCCAGGGCACCAACGTGGACAAGCCTCTTCGAATTGTTGGAGAGCCATTCAAAGTGCAGGTAATGTTCAGGTCATATATATACACGCCAGCAGGGGGCGGCGGTCGTATTACGCCAGCAGGGGGCGTCGGTCGTATTACGCCAGCAGGGGGCGACGCATTCCTGGGAAAATGGGAAATTCCCATGCAATCTCTCATTGAAACCAGTAACACAGGATTGCGTTGTTGCTAGGCTGATTGCATCCCTGTTGCTGATCTCTTTATAAACCGCACTTTCTGTTCTGCTCAATAGTTTTATTAGACAAAAAGCTGACCATAAATGTAGCAGATAGTACACGGCAGGCGCTGAGTATGGGGCTTGAAGCCTGTATGACTGCTGATTGGCTGCAGTCACCTTTCGGCCTGGCTTTTTCAACAAAAGGCAATTCAGTAGTCACCTTTTTTTTACGCGGGAGGGGCCACCCACTGTTAGAATTTCTGACAGTTTCTGTGGAATGGCCAGGTCATCCCAGGATGGAAAGGGTTACTGGCAGGATCATAAGGTGGACCTAATGCAGCCATTACATCTAAGAACTGGGATGCTGCAATATATTATGTTTGTCTTTTGGACACTACAGGCTCCCTCCCAACACAGCCTGAATTTATGAATGGCATGTAAAATGCTGGCTGTTGTATGGGGTAAGTACTGTGGTGTCCATCTATAAGGAGACCCTTTTTAAGTAATGCATCATAAGCTCTGTGACAGAGCAGTGAGCGAAACTTCATTTGGGTTTGCTCTTACCTTTTTGATTTACATTGCACTGAAAGGGCTCCAATGTGTTTAATTGATTTTTCTTTTCCTCATGCAGCAAGCTTGTGAGATGGTTATGGATCTCTTGAGAGAACGAGATCAGGGTAACTTTGGAGGAGGAGGTGGTGGAGGAGGAGGAGGAGGCGGCGGCGGAGGAGGAGGAGGAAACGAATATGGTTCCAGAGGAGGAATAGATGTAAGTTGCAAATGAGTTTCCTGTACAGAATGCGGGCCCGAAGGATGTGTGTCTTCATCGCTCTAACTCTTATTACAGGTACCCGTCCCAAGGCATTCTGTGGGGGTGGTGATTGGACGCAACGGTGAGATGATTAAAAAAATTCAGAACGACGCTGGTGTCCGCATACAATTTAAACAAGGTGAGGAGGGCTTTCTTTCACCAGTATTACTCTGTGAATAATTGTCACTTACTGCCCTGTTTGAGGACTCTCCTGAAATCGTATCCATGATGACCAAAAAAGTCCTAATTTATGGTCCTATTTCTGTCAAGATCTGTCCCAAGTTCTTTTCGGGGTACAAATTACTTTGGGGTGGATGAGGCCCGTATTCTCTCTGCTGGCCAGCTACTTGCAAGATGCTTTAAAATGTACACTGAATTGCTCATGCAGAGCCCAGTGTATGCCCAAATCCCAAACTATGGGGGTAAGTGTTTTTCCCCATAGTTCTCTTAAGGGTCACAGGAGGACATATACTAGCGTCCTCCCGTCACCCAAAGTACAGTATATCGTGAGCTACAGCTCACGGTATACTGAGACCACCGCAGCCGGGACGGATACCGACATTACTGACAAGATCCGCCGAGCTGCGTGAGGGACAGCTGGCTCTGCCTATCTAGAGGCAGAGCCTGCTGTACCCGCCCCCTCCCCCGTCCATTCCCCCAGTCAGCGCTGGAGGATCGGAGAGGGGGGGAATCCTTGCAGGGAGACGTGACTGTCCACCCAGCTGTATGAGTGACAGCTGGCTCTGCCTATCTAGAGGCAGAGCCAGCTGTACCCGGCCCCTCCCACTCGTTCGTTGCTCCACTCACGCTGTAGGATCGGGGAAGAATCCCTGCAGGGAACGTTGATTGACAGTCAAGGCTCTCTGCAGGGAGATCGAGAAGTGAGCGAGCGACGCTATGTATTCTCTCACTTCCCGATCTATTGAGCCAACGTGTGACAGTTTCATTGTCGCACGTCGGCTCGTACTATGAGGATGAGTGATTTTCACTCGCCTCATAGTTCTTTTTAAGTCCTCCCAGTCAATCAAGATAAGTTTAAGGCCCTGAACCCATACAAAAACGGCAGCGATAGGTATGGATATTGGTTTGGTTCCGCTGTAATTCCCCCCCCCAAAAAATTGCTCTTAACAATTAAATTTTGTTTGCACTGCCTGCAGCACACGTGCAATGCGGTGTACACTCCTGGCTCATTCCCAGCACATATAAGATGCTGAATTCACACGCAAAAGGTCACATCGGTGTGATGTGATCTTACATGACATGAACTGTGTGTGCAGTGGGTATGGCCCGCAGTTAAAGGAGAACTATGGGGTTAGGGCTTTTCCCCATAGTTCTCGGGGTGACGGGAGGACACAAACTAGCGTCCTCCCGTCACCCTAAGCTCAGTATACCGCAATCTGTAGCTCACGGTATACTGAGACGCCGCAGCTGAAGCGGATCCCGACAATTATGTCGATCCGCCCAGCTGCGTGAATGACAGCTGGCTCTGCCTATCTAGAGGCAGAGCCAGCTGTACCCGTCCCCTCCCACGTCCGTTCCACCAGTCAGCGCTGGCGGATCGGGGAGGAGGGAATCCAGCTGTCACGGGAGAGAGCCGTGACAGGATCGAGAAGTGAGCAAACGCCGGTATGTGTTCGCTCACCTACCGATCTACTGAGCCGACCTGTGACAGTCTCATTGTCACAGGTCGGCTAGAACTATGAGGTGAGTGAAAAGCACTCACCTCATAGTTCTCCTTTTTAATATACAGATATATTTGGCTTTGGGGAAAGACACAATTTTGCTTCTGTTAAAGATTAGCCCAGATCTGTGTAAAGAGACTGCACCTAGTACAGCAATGAAGGGTAAAATAAAGCTTGTGAATGTGGAACATTACTGCTCGCACATTACGTCACATTTACCCTCCTAGTGGGCCCTTCTACAATAATGGAAATACCGAAAACAAAAACGCGTGGTAAGCGCGCAACTGTGAAATTGGGTTGGTGTTTAAATGCAGTTAGTGGTATTACGCTGGGTTCACACCTAGGCGTATTGAATATGCGCGTTGTTCGCCGCGATTCAAGGTAAAAAAACGCGCAACAAACGCCCGTTTCCGAAGGCTACTTGGCTGTATCCCAATGGAAACGCGAGACCAAAACAGTACATGTACTTCTTTGGGCGTAGGCCGTTTTGTATCGCGTTCGGACGGGAGGAAATACGGCAAGGTGTGAACCAGACCCATTGAATACAATGGGATTTAGATGTTTGAGCGTTTTGTAGAGCGTTCGAGCGTTGAACGCGCTACAAAACGTTCAGGTGTGAACCAGGCCTTAGGTGTGCCAGCTTCTTGAACAGGGAGAGGGATCCTGTGTGCAGAATCAACCAAAAAGCGCTACAACCTTTTAAACAACTTTTGGTTTAGAGTGTTTTATACGTGAATCGTATAGGAACTGAGGTGACTCACTGTTTACTGTTGAAGAATGATGGTGCCTGCAGATGAAGAGAACTGCTTGGTATCCTGGGGAGAAAGGCTGGAAGGGGGACGCTATCAATTAAGGACGGCATCAGACTGCCGCAGCTCCAAGCATGTTGCGCACTGGTTGTCACAGTCAAGTGCTGAAAGGTCTCGGCTGGCCAGGCTGAGCCTTTGGCGGCTGCGTGGGAGAGAAGCGGCTCTGCTGCGGTGTACAGCACTGTCGGTAAGCGGTTCATTGAAATGACGGTGATAGTCAGTGGGAAGCTGAAAGGCTCCGGGGTTGTCTTACTGAGTAATGGGGACTGTCAAAGGCAGAACAGTGAGTCACCTCAGTTCCTATATGATTCAAGTATATTACACTCTAAACCAAAGTTGTTTAAAAGGTTGTAGCGCTTCTTTTTTGTTCCTTCTACAATAATGACCTCCTCTTTGTCGCTCTGTTCGTGGCACTGACATCTTCTGGCTCTGATGTGATCTTTTGCGTGTGCATCCTGCATCTTGTATGTGCTGGGCATGAGCTAGGAGTGTACGCCGCATTGCACGTGTTCTGCAGGCAGTGCAAACAAAATAAAATGTCTAGGAGCAATTTTTTTTGCGGTGGGACTTAGAGCGGAACCTAACCAATATCAATACCGATCGCTGCAGTTTTTATGGGTTCAGGGCCTTTTTAACTATCTTGATTTGGCTGGGAGGACTTGACACCCACATGGGAGTTCATCCTGGCATAGAGGTGCGCTGAGTGTGTACACTGAGCTCTGCGTGAGCAGCTCGGTGTGCATTTTAAAGCATCTTGCACAGATGAAGGTGAGAAGCCCGAATTGCAGAATGATTTTTAGTGCAGGAGAGACGTACTGTTTGCGTGTTTTTACTATGTAGGGTTTTAGTTCCACTTCTACATTAAGGTAGGTCCCAGCAACTCTGCAGCTTGGTAGATGTCTCTCAATTTTATTCTCCATTAAATTCATGCCACTTTCTTGCTCTGTATGCCTATAAAATGTTAAAAATCACGTCTTTGTTGCCATCCATGTGGTAATTCTGCCTCCATCCCCACAGATGATGGGAGTGGTCCTGATAAGATAGCACACATCATGGGTCCTCCAGACAGGTGTGATCATGCAGCCAGGATTATTGGGGACCTGCTGCAGAGTTTGAGGGTAAGTAACATGGACAATATCTGGTCACTTATTTGTTGACTCTGTATACATAATTTTATATTTCTTTTACAGAGTGGTCCACCTGGACCCCAGGGCCCTGGCATGCCACAAGGTGGCAGGGGAAGGGGTAGAGGTCAAGGACCATGGGGACCTCCTGGTGGTGAAATGACATTCTCTATTCCTACTCATAAATGTGGCCTGGTGATTGGCCGAGGTGAGTCCAAATTTTATTTCACACTTCCCAGTCGCCTTGGATGCATTGCTACTTTTCTCAGTTGTTCCCATTTTGTCAAGTACTGAACGATCTTTTCCCGGCCTCAATACATCAATATAATTTCTGCTTCACAGGTGGGGAGAACGTCAAGGCAATTAACCAGCAGACGGGAGCATTCGTGGAGATCTCCCGACAACCGCCACCTAACGGTGACCCCAACTTTAAAATGTTCATCATCCGTGGCTCGCCACAACAGATCGATCATGCCAAACAGCTAATTGAAGAAAAAATTGAGGTACTTTTATTAATGAGACCAAATCTCTATAGTACGAGCTAGGCCTTATTATTTCTTGCCATTTTTAGCATTCCTTCTGTATGATAGTTTGCTTTAAGGTCCCCGCACACCTTACGATAATCGTACGATAATCGCGGGAAATCCCACGATTGTACGATTATCGTAAGGTGTGTGGAAGCCGTGCGACCTCTACTACTGTAAGGACATGTTCGAAAACCCGCCGAGCAGCGTACGACCGGCGAGTTTGTGGCATGTCCGTACGATAACAGCCGTACGGCCCGGTGTGCGCAAGGGCGCACTGCCCGTTCGGCATTGCGGTCATCGGAAGCCCGCCCCTCAGGGGCGTAGCTTGCGATCATCGCAAGTACGATCTGCCTATGCAAGATAGGCAGATCGTACGTTTTAAGTACCTTACAACCATCGCAAGACTTTTGTAAGATGTGTGCCCAGCCTTAGGCCTTGTTGCTCTCAGTACCTGTATAACAATAAATCTGATTCCTTTTAAAGGAATTCAGAAGTCTTCTGCAGAAAGAACATCAGGCGATGTAATACATTGTGGAAAATATTTGATCCCCTGCAGATTTTGTAGGTTTGCCCACCTTTCCCAGAAAAGAACAGATGATACAAATGTTATAAATGGAGTTGCAGTTCAGTGAGTAAAATAAGTATTTGATCCCCAAGCAGAACCTGACTTGGTACTTGGTGGGGAAGCACAGAGCTAGGACGTCTCTTGTAGGTAGTTACCAGGTTTGCAGACATCTCGGGAGGGGTTTTGGTTCACTCTTGTCATGTTCTGCTTTGGGATCAAATACTTATTTTACTCACTGAACTGCAGCTCAATTTATAACATTTGTATCATGTGTTTTGGGATTTTTGGTATATAGTCTCTCTCTATCATGTAAAATACACACATGATAACAAATATAGACCTTTTATTTGTTTGTAGGTGGGCAAACTTACAAAATTTGCAGGGCATGAAATCATTATTTTCCTCCTCGTATGTTAATTACACTTCCCTGTGTTTTTCCAGATCCGGGGTTCTATCAAAAGTTGTGACTGCATTAGAATGTGTGACCCGTGACGTGGTCTTGCATTTTACCGTAATCCCGCCCAGTTTTTCGTCGGTGGCATGTGTGATTGGTCACACATTTTACCGTAATCACGCCCAGTTTTTCGCCGGTGGATCATGTGATCGGCAAAAGGAGAAGAATTCCAACGCTTTCTCAGCTGTTCCAGGGCAGATCGGCATCACAGATCGTATGTGCAGGAGAACCGATCTGCCCTGAAACAACTGCTCGTTCCTGAAATGTCACTTCTATCAGACTCTGGAACTGCGATCTCACATTCCACAAGGTCGGATAGAAGTGACATTTTGGGACTGATCAGCTGTTTCAGGGCAGATCGGTTCTCCTGCACATACCATCTGCGATGCCAATCTGCCCTGGAACAGCTGAAAAAAATGGAATTGTTCACCTTTTGCCGGTCACATATTCCACTGCCAGAAAAGTGGGCGTGATTTCATTAAAATATGTGGCCGGTCACACACTCCAACCCAGTCGCAATCTTTGATAGAACAGCGGTTCTCTAAATACTGTGCAGAGATTTCAGCCGTACTTTTAACTCTGGGCTTGGAGTTTGTGCGCTCTGTATCTCCTGTCTGCTGTTTTCATTAATGGAATTGGTCACTACAAATGATGACCTCTCGACTTCCTTCGCTGTGGTGTACAGATTCATCTGAGAAGTCTTTAGTAGGGTTGAGGTCAGGGCTCTGTACAGAGAACTTCTGTTCTCCTCACGAAGCTCATCAATCCACGTCTTTATAGAGCTGGCTTTGTGCACAGGGGACAATCATGCCAACATAAAAGTGCCCTCTTCAAACTGGTACCAAGATTGGCAGAGCACAGTTGTCTAAAATGCCTTTCTTTGGTTGTACTGCTCACTGGAAATACCTGAACTGAGTTTGCAGGGGTGTCCACATACTTTTGGTAAATAATGTGTGGTCTTGGGATTTGAACATGGGAAGTAGAGCGGAAGTCATTGTTCTGGCACATTTAGATTTCTGATTGATTTCTGCAGCGCTAGGCAGTTCTTATTGAAATGGAGATAACAAATGTGGCAAGATGATCTTTTGTTTTACAGAATATTCATTTTGTAGATTTAATTTGTTTCTATGATAATTTTGACCCTTTTAACCCTGTTATAAACTCTTGGTGAACTTTTAAATAGTCTGTGTTCAGTTGTGTCTAATTTTATGCGTGTTTTCTTTCCAGGGTCCTCTTTGTCCGATTGGGCCTGGTCCTCCTGGTCCTGGTCCAGCTGGACCCATGGGACCATTCAACCCTGGCCCTTACCCAACCGGACCCCCAGGAGCTCCTCCACAGTATGTATTGCCAAACCATCAATATAGAAATTCAGAAGTGTGATAATAAAATTTCGGGTAGCTTTGAAGGACAACTGTACCTTGGCTACAAGTTGTCGTTTAAAGTTACAGTTTATCTTTTTATAATGTAAGATGAGGCAGGTTATCTGCAGCGATGGTCTTTTAGATTTCCTCTGCTGGGGGTGATTGGCCTGTATACTGGCTGAGGGCTGTCTGTCAGCAATGGAATGGCTGGGAAGGAAGCTGTGCTTGTTTGAGGGACATGTGATTGGAAAGTTTTTGGTACATTTATTTCCATTGTCTCCGGAATATGGGTAGTTGGCTTCTGCTGTGACCACTCTATCAGATAAGGCCATAACCATGAATGGCCATATCCGAGGCAGATTGGGCCACCTTCTGTTAAGAACTTGTCTCTAGTGGTATGACCTGCCAGTATATAAACTTTGGGGTTTGATCCATGGGTCCTACACGCCTTTACATATGTAACCTTCCAGTGTATGAACTTTGGGGTGGATCCATGGGTCCTACACACTTTGCATGCATGACCTGCCAATATATGAATTTTGGGATGCGATACCTGGGTTCTGCACTCCTTTTACATGCATGACCTGCCAGTAGGGATGCATCGATACTGATACTAGTATTGGTGCAGATGCCGAGTATTTTGGCAACTACTCGTACTCGCCCAAATGCTCCGCTACCTAGCCCAAACCCGAGCTTCCGGCATCAGGAAGCTGGGCGCCGTGTAATGACGTTCCTGATTGGCCAGAAAGCTGGCTCCACGCTTTCTCGTCATCTAGTGATGAGAAGCATGGAGACGGCTTCCCTGCTAATCTGGAAGCCGGGTGGCAAATCTTTACACGCTTGCCGGCTAATCAGGAAGCCAGGTGGCGAGTCATTACTTGCCACCTGACTTCCTTAACCAGTTGACATCCGCGGTGTTAAACCCCCTTCCCATCCAGGCCATTTTTCATTATTCAGCGCTGCGGTACTTTCACTGACATTTATTCCGTCATGCAGCGCTGTACTGAAATGAATTTTATACCTTTTTTTTGGGGACAGATAGAGCTTTCTTTTGGTGGTATTTATTCACCACTGGGGGTTTTATTTTTTTACTATATTAAGGAAAAATGACCGACATTTAAAAAAAAAAGTTTCCCCTATATTAAATGATAAAACATTTATTACCCAATTTTTTGGTAAAATATAGAAGACTGGGTGACGTCGGGTAAAAAGACACCAAACATGTCAAGCCTTAAAATTGCGTGCGCGAAACCTCAAAAAACAATAATACCCAAAATTTGCCATAGGCGACGCTTTAAAAGCTGTTACCGCTCATCAGTTTAGTGTTATCAGTGATTGATGGCCCTAAAATGATTGCTCTCACTGTGACGTTCGCGGCGATATGTAACGTGTGTAGCGCAATTGTAATGTTTGCGTGCTGGGGCACCGGACGCATATTTACGTTTATAGGCGCGTAAACGTGGGGGTGGGGGGGGTTAAACGTTTTGGGGTTTTTTTTCCCCTTTTTTTTATGACTTTTTTTTATGACTTTTATTTTATTTTACTTATGTTTTATTTTTTTTATTTATATTTATTGTTTTGCACTTATTGTAATTGCTATTATATAGGGGGATAACAATCCCCTTTTATATAAGAAAAGGCAAACTGACAGGTCTCCTTTTTGGAGACATAAGGGGGTCTCTAGGACCCCTAATGTCACCTGTGGACCCCAAAAGAAGCTGATGAAGCAGAGATCTGCTTCATCAGCTTCTTCTCTCTGGCTATAGCTGCCAGATGACTGACAGGTGAATGCGGAAGTGATGTAATACACAT